GCTTAAAACTAAAACGGGGCATCTACCTAGGACTAAGTATTCTCCAGAACTCAGATGTTTTGCTTTAACTTTACATTACCATTCACCGAAAGCTTATCGATATGTGCGAAGAATATTTGGAACGTGTCTGCCCTCACCACGTACTATAAGAAAGTGGTATAGTACAATTGATGGCCGACCTGACTTCACAAAGGAAGCGTTAGCTGTTTTAAAACTTAGAGCAGAGAGCAACACTGACAAAAAATTGTATTGTACATTAGTGATAGATGAAATGAAAATAAAACAATTGACGGAGTACCATGCAAGTTCAAAAAGACATTTTGGTTATGTTAATTATGGATTTGACTTCATTTCTGACAATTCAGAGGAAGCCACTGATGCTTTAGTATTTTTATTAGTGGGAATCTAGTAATCCTGACAAGAAATTGTATTGTACATTAGTGATAGATGAAATGAAAATAAAACAATTGACGGAGTACCATGCAAGTTCTAAAAGATATTTTGGTTATGTTAATTATGGATTTGACTTCATTTCTGACAATTCAGAGGAGGCCACTGATGCTTTAGTATTCAGTAAAACATAATATAATACTTTTTCACTTTATTTTAATTTTGGTAATTTTGTATTATTATTTTGTACCTTATGTATTTTTTTTTAATTTACTTTGAATGTAATATTAAACATTAAACATACTTTTGTCTTATTGTTCATTTTTATTTTATTTAATTTGCTAATGTAACTTGCATAAAATTTCATCGACATATCCATATCGACAAGGCCCTCGCACTAGTTGTTTATGCCATATGCACTGTAACGATGAGACATTTATGAGAGATTTTCAAGGTTGTATGCGTTTTGCTTAATCGTGTGCTCATATTATGCTGTGTGCGTGCGTAACGACGTGGCCCAATGTTTACGATTTGCTTAGTGTGCATTACCTCGCCTCCCGCTAGAAGTGACAGACTTTTTTGTTTGGAACTTTATGCGCATGGCGTCTCCTGTTAGTTGAATACTCTAAGTTACTGGGTTTCCTCATCATGGGGATACGTAGAAAAAAAATTTGCCGGGAGAAGAAGAAGTGTTTGAAGAAACGACTGAGGAGGAAGAAATTGATACCAGTACTGAGGAAGATCCTGAGAAAGAGCAGCGCAAGTATAAGCCGTACTTTGTATCTGACTACAACAGAAGGTACCCTGAGGACTCTATTCTCGTTGATTTTGTTGTATTTGTCGAATCAAATGATGAAAGAAGACCAATCGGCACGCGGGACGTGATGTCTCTGTCCACACATATGAAGAGGTTCAATAAAGGCATTAAATATTTGCAATCTATGAATAAATACAAAATAGGCGTTCATTTTGAAAAGCCCTCTCTAGCGAATGCATTTATAAATAATATTACTTTTCTTAATGAATACAAAATGAAGGCATCTATCCCAGCTGTAGGGACAGAAATAACAGGAGTCATAACCAATGTTTCCACTAATCTTTCTAATTCAAGAATTTTTGGTATGTTAACGACTTACAGGAAGATAATATGTGTTAAAAGGATAATGAGGAAACATAAGAATGATGCAGGACGCAGTTTGCTGCAGCCGATGGGCACCGTGGCCATCACATTCGCTTCTAATGTTTTGCCGGACCACGTCGATCTTCATGGTTGGCGGTTCGTGGTAAATCAGTATATTCCACCAGTGAAGCAGTGCTACAATTGTCTGAGGTATGGTCACTTAGCAAAGTATTGTAAAAATTCTATGAAATGCTCAATTTGTACTGAAAATCACAGCTACAAAGATTGCCAAGTATCTTTAGATAAAGCGATATGCATACATTGCAAAGGAAACCATCTAAGCATTTCTGGACAGTGTCCTGTTAAGAAACAAAAGATAAAAGAAAATCAGGCTAAATTACACAAAACCCCATTTGTAGACCTATTTAATAAAAACGAATTCCCCGAATTAAACAAAAAAAAATCCAAAGATGCTCTTATGTCACTGCTAAAGAATGATGACATTATTAATATAATTTTAAATACAGTCATTAAAGTATTAACTCTTAATAAATCAAATGAACAAACCACCAAATCTTCTCAGCTTATTAAAGATGTTCTCACAGATACAATGAAACCAAAATAGATATTTCATTATTTAACATTTAATATTTTATGGATCAGTTTAACATTTTACAATGGAATGCACAGACTTTAATTAAAAATCGCTTTCAATATACACAATTTTTATATCAGAACACCATAGATGTTGCTCTCATATGTGAAACTTGGCTTAAACCTAGGCACAATTTTAGAGTAAAAGGTTATAATATTGTTGCGCGCCAGTATTAATGTCTTGTACATGGCAACACTAGTTACACTAGCGCCCTCTTGTGTCGAGTAAAAGAAAGTGTTGCGCGCCACTATTAATGTCTTGTACATGGCAACACTGGTTACACTAGCGCCCTCTAGTGTCGAGTAGCAGAACTAGAAGAGTCAAGATCCTTCCAGAAATTTCGGGACCGATATGTACTCGAACATTCTAGATGTCGCTACAGTAGAAGATTCTGGAAACTATCTGAGGCTCTATATAAGGCCGGTATAGGCCACGACCGAGGCAGTATTGAATTGACGATACAAGAGATTGTGTTTCATTATTAGTGTGATTTTAGATTGTAATTAGTGTTGTGTAATTAAAGTGTCAATTTTGGTAATTCAATCGGCAGTTTTTAATTGTCTCGAACCCCAAGCTCGTAACAATTGGTGTCAGAAGTGGGATCAAATCGTGCCGATTTTACCAAAGGACGACATGGAGGGTATGAGTACCCGAAATCAACGCCAGCTGGAGGCGGACCAGAGACAATTTGGTAATGCAACGCCGCAAACGTCGAAGGGCCAGATGCTGACCACGGAGGCCGGCCCGTCAGCAGCTCCTGCATCTGCAGCACCTGACTTAGGTGCTCTGATGATGATGTTGCAGGATCGGGCTCGCCGATACGAGGAACAGGCCCGCCGACAGGAGGAACAGGGCCGTCGGTGGGAAAAGCAGCTGCAGCGCGGACAGGAGGAACAGGCCCGCCAACAGGAGGAACAGGGCCGTCGGTTGGAAGAGCAGCCTCTTCTCATGAAGGACCTTCACGTTACCTTCGGGAAAGAGATAAAGGAGGTGAAGGATAGGGTTGCTCAACATGACAACCGCCTGTCGGAAGCTGAAACACGAATCGACCAAGTGAACAATCGGGTTGACAACGTGATGGTTGACGTGACGAATACGCTGGACGACCTCAAAATTGGGGATGGAGTTACAGCTCCCGTGGTAGCTGCAACACCTTCGCTACGTGGATTCAAAGTGCCACCGTTCGACAGGACTTCTTCCTGGTCGGCCTACAAAATCCAGTTTGAGGCTGTCATGAAAGCGAACGGCTGGAATAAAAGTCAGGCCATAACTACTCTCACCCTAGGCCTACGCGACCAGGCCTTAACTGTTCTGGAAGCTCTCGGTAAGGAAGTGACTTACGAGCAGCTCCTCGAGGCATAGGAGGCGAGATATGGCGACGCTCACCTGGAACACGTCTTTCGTGCGCCGCTCAAAGATCGCGTGCAACGCAGTAACGAAAACCTGCAGAAGTGGGCCCTTGAGGTGGAGAAGCTGGTTCGAAAAGCGTACCAGTCTGTACCTGCGCTTATTGTAGGGAACCTGGTGCAGACATTCATCGACGGCATCCACGACCTTGAAGACAGAGCTACTGTGAGGCTCGGGCACCATGAGACGCTTAAGGACGCCTTGACCCATGCACTGGAGGTGGAAGCGATGCGGCAGAATCATCGTTCCCACCGCGTCAGGGGGTTGTGGCAGCTACAGTTAAGGACCGCAATAAAAGCTACAGCCCTAGGTGCTACGGCTGTGGGGAAAGGGGCCATCTTCGATCCAGCTGCCCTAAGCGAACTGTAGAATGGGAAGGTGATCGATCTCGAGAGTGTAGTGCGGCTAATAGCACCGCCCAGCAGCAGCAGGGGAACGAGTAAAAGCCAGGACTGCGGGGCGGGTGCTGGCTGATGTTAAAAGAGCCCCAAGGATTTCTATCTCACAAACCCATGATGGGAACAGCCTAATCATCAAGGGCGAAGTCAACGGAACGCCGTGTAAACTGACCATAGACACTGGAGCCTCTCGCACGGTTGTCAGTTCCCAACTTATAAGTCGGTTCCTTGGGGACTCCGCATACAACCGAGAACGCATTAATTTGGTGACAGCCACCGGTCAGCGCATACCCGTCCGTGGAGAGAAGGAGATGGAGTTGAAGCTAGGCTACATGATCTACCTGCATAATGTCATCGTGGCTGATATAATGGACGACTGCATCCTGGGCCTAGACTTTATGAGGAAGAATTGTTGTGAGATCGACGTTAAGCAAAGTGTTTTGAAATGTGGACAAGAGGAACTTTTCGTGGAAGGGGCGTTACTAGGGAATGTGTACAGCCTTAAGAAGATTGTTATTCCGCCGAGATCGGAAACGATTGTGCCGGTTAGACTTCCTCGGAATCCTGGGAAAACTCTTCGTTGTGTGCTCGTGGAAAGGGTAGACAACGACCTTCCATGGATAGTGGCTCGAACCTTGGTCAGAACCGCCGACATCTCAGGAGTACGTGTGTTGAACCTTTGTGATCAGGAACAGATTATAGAAAAAGGCACATTGGTTGGTACTAGTAAGGAAGTGGATTGGTTGCGTCGGTGCCAATATCTATCGACTGGGACCCTCAGCAAGGATGGAGAAACGAGAGTGGCCACACTTTTAGAAGACTGTCGCAGCGTTCTCTCCCCGAATGAAATGGTCAAGGCGAAGAAGTTGTTACTCAAGTACGCCAATGTTTTCTCATCAAACGAAGCTGACATAGGAAAGACTGGCTTAGTTCAACACAAAATAAACACAGGAGAAGAATTGCCTATTCGTCAGCGGCCAAGAAGATTGCCTGTAGCACGTGAAAAGGAAGTGGAAACCATGATTGAGGGATGGTGAAGGATGGTGTTATTGAACCTTCATCTAGTCCATGGTGTTCACCTGTGGTGCTGGTGAAGAAGAAGGACGACAGCATGCGATTTTGTATTGACTACCGCCGCCTGAACGACGTTACGAAGAAGAGCAGCTATCCCTTGCCTAGAATTGATGACACGCTGGACATGCTCAGAGGCGTAAAGTGGTTTAGTACGCTGGATCTGAAAAGTGGCTACTGGCAGGTTGAAATTGACCCTAAGGACAAGGAGAAAACTGCATTCTCCACAGGAAAGGGTCTGTGGCAATTTAAAGTCATGCCGTTTGGATTGTGCAATGCTCCAGCAACGTTTGAAAGATTAATGGAGCTTGTACTTACAGGGCTAATTGGAGATGCCTGTCTGGTCTACTTGGATGACATCATCATCATAGGCCGTACGTTTGAGGAACACCTTCAAAACCTGGAACGCGTGCTCATGAAGATCCAGAGTGCCAACCTCAAGTTGAGTCCGAAGAAGTGCTCAATATTCAAACGGCAAGTTAGTTTTTTGGGGTATGTAGTGTCGGAAGAAGGTATCCGCACGGATCCAGAGAAAATTGCTGCTGTCAAGGAGTGGCCGGTCCCAAAAGACAAGAAACAGGTTAGAGCATTTTTGGGTTTGTGCTCTTATTATCGGTGATTTGTGAAGAACTTTGCAGATATAGCCAAATCTCTGCACAAGCTAACCGAGGAGAAGCGACATTTCTGCTGGGATGAAAGTTGCGATATTGCATTCCAGGAGCTCAAGAACCGTCTGTGCAAAACACCTATTTTGGGGTACCCTGATGCGGGCAAGGAATTCATAGTTGACACAGACGCAAGTGATATAGGACTTGGCGGTGTGTTGTCTCAACGGAATGGTGATCAAGAGATTGTGATAGCGTACTTCAGCAAGTGTTGTAAAAGCCGGAAAGGAACTATTGTGTCACAAGACGGGAATTGCTTGCTGTGGTAAAGTCCTTGCAGCATTTTAGCAAATATCTTCTAGGACGGAAATTCCACTTACGAACTGACCATGCTGCACTGAAATGGCTATTGCAGTTCAAAAATCCGGAAGGACAAGTTGCGAGATGGATTGAACTACTACAGGAATACTTCGAATACTGATCGAACATCGCAGCGGGAAATCTCATGGCAATGCAGATGCATTATCAAGAAGACATTGCCCTGAAGATTGCAAGCATTGTACTAGGCAAGAGGGTAAATAAGTGGTATCTGCGAGGATACTCAGGACAGACCAGCTCAGCAATGAATGGAAGGACAGCCTACAACATGTACAGCAGGAAGATTCGGACATTAAGCCGATTCTGGAATGGATGAAGGCCAGTGCTCCTTGCTGATTCAGGATGGAGTCCTGTGCCGTAAATGGGAAAATGGTCGGGGAGACAGTTGTCATTTGCAAATGGTTGTCCCTACGGCTAAAGTACCGGATGTTCTACAGCTGTACCACAGTGGTTGTTCAGGAGGCCACCTGGGAGTTAAACGAACTCTACTGAAGATCCGAGAACGGATTTACTGGGTCCACTGTCTTGGCGATGTCGAGGACTGGTGCCGCAAATGTAAAAGTTGCGCGGCTGTAAAGGGACCTCAAATTCGTAGTAGAGGCGCATTGAAATTGTACAATGTTGGTGCACCATGGGAGAGGATAGCCATTGACGTTGCGGGGCCGTTCCCGGAAAGTGAAAGTGGTAACAAGTATTTCATGGTTGTGATGGATTACTTCACTAAGTGGCCAGAAGTCTTCGCCATTCCAAATCAAGAAGCTTCAACAGTTGCAGATAAACTAGTTCATGAAGTCTTCTGTCGTTTTGGAGTACCCTTAGAGATTCACAGCGATCAAGGAAGGAATTTCGAGTCTCAAATATTCCAGGAAACTTGCAGAGTTATGGGTACTCATAAAACACGAACAACTTATTACCACCCACAATCTGATGGAATGGTAGAACGATTTAATCAGACATTGGAGAGGTACCTGGCAAAAGTTGTGGAAAAACGGCAACGAGACTGGGACAGGCACATACAACCGTTTTTGTTGTCATATCGAAGCGCTGTTCACGAAAGTACATCAGTGACGCCAGCTTTCGCAAACTTTGGGAGAGAATTACGGCTGCCTGCTGACCTGATCACCGGAATACTACCTGATGCCCCACGCAGTATAACCGATTATGCAAATGACTTGCGGAACAAAATGAATGACATTTATGAGCACGTCAGATAGACGGGCCAGCAAACGTCTCAGAAGATGAAAACACGGTATGACCGCAAAATGAACAACAAGGGGTTTGATGAAGGTTCACTAGTGTGGTTACACAATCCAGTTCGCAGCAAAGGGAAATCTCCTAAGCTTCAAGCTAAATGGGACGGACCGTACCGGATTGTGACAAGGATCAATGATGTAACCTACCGGATACAGAAAGGTGCCAGAGGTACTCCTAAGATTGTCCATGTGGATCGACTGGCGCGTTATTATGGGGCCAATAATGCTCGGGACGAGCATGTCTTAGGAGGGGGCAGTGTTGTGGGCCACTATTAATGTCTTGTACATGGCAACACTAGTTACACTAGCGCCCTCTAGTGTCGAGTAAAAGAAAGTGTTGTGCGCCACTATTAATGTCTTGTACATGGCAACACTAGTTACACTAACGCCCTCTAGTGTCGATTAGCAGAACTAGAAGAGTCAAGATCCTTTCAGAAATTTCGGGACCGATATGTACTCGAACATTCTAGATGTCGCTACAGTAGAAGATTCTGGAAACTATCTGAGACCCTATATAAGGCCGGTATAGACCACGACCGAGGCAGTATTGAATTGGCGATACAAGAGATTGTGTTTCATTATTAGTGTGATTTTAGATTGTAATTAGTGCTGTGTAATTAAAGTGTTAATTTTGGTAATTTAATCGGCAGTTTTTAATTGTCTCGAACCCCAAGCTCGTAACAATATTATACGATTAGATTCAGGTAATGATCATAATGGAGTAGCAATACTTCTACATAACAAAATTGGATTTCGTGTTATCAATACATTCTCTGATGACTCATTAAAAAATATAGCTGTACAAATACAATACAATGATAAATTATTAACTTTAGTTAGTGTTTACTATCCCCCTAATTCACCAATTAATTATAATAACTCCAAATTAGATAATTTAATCCAAAGTTTGCCACAGCCTGTCTTTATAGCTGGTGATTTCAACGCCCATCACACGTTATGGGGATGTACTGAATTAGATTCACGAGGTAGGGACGTTCTTGCAAGTATAGATGACAACAATCTTGTAATCTTGAATGATGGTCAGATGACTACAGTAGGATCTCATAGATGGAGGCAGAACGCATTAGACTTAACACTTGTTTCATCTTCACTGGCTCTGTCTTGTGAGTGGCAAGTATGTGATGATGATTCTCTAGGCTGCTTTCATTTTCCTGTAAAGACAAAAATTACGGTCAATAATCAAAAATTTCAAGAAACAGCTGTATCAAATAACATAAACTTAAAATTGGTAGATTGGTCAAAATATCCAAATTTAATAGATAATTTAATTAAAAATTATAGTTTTGATTATAGTAATCCTTTACAATGTCATACAGACTTAATAGAACTAATTAAACAAGCCATGCATGAATCCACACCATCCAATCAGTCTTCTAATCGAAATGTTAACATCAACTTGCAATCTTTTAAAAGAATCAAAAAAATAATTCTCTACCTTGGTGGAATTTAAAATGCAAAGACGCAGTATTAAATTGTAAAAATGCATATTTAGTATTTAAGAATGATCCCACAGAACGAGATTATATTAATTTTAAAAGACTACAAGCTGTTAAAAAAAATACTTTGGAGACTGAAAGACAGCTTAGCTGGAAAAAACTATGTGAAACTTTTAATAGATCTACTCCATTGACTAGAGTATGGAATTACATTAAAAAGTTTAACAAAACTTTTGTTCATAATAACACATCTGTCATATATTCTAATTGGGCTAATGAATTTTTGAAAAAATATACCCCAAAAACAGATGAAACACCTCTAACCCCTCACTCCTCAAATGATAATCATTGTGATTATCTTACCAAACCTTTTACCTTGACCGAATTCAATTCAGCTGTTAACTCTAGAAAGGACACTACTTGTGGTTTAGATTCTGTTCCATATAAAGCTTTAAAAAATATGAATACTGCGTGTACAGAACTAGTTTTGAAAATATATAATATATTATGGTTTCATTCACTTATTCCTAACGATTGGAAAGAAGATTGTTTTATACCCATTTTAAAGCCTGGAAAAAAACTTCACATTGCAGAATATTACAGACCTATAGCACTTACATCTTGTATGGGTAAAATATTTGAGCAACTTATAAAATCTAGATTAGAATTTTATCTAGAGAAAAATTGTCTTTTACCATCAAATCAGTTTGGATTCAGACGCCGTAAGTCATCTAGAGAAAGTATTGCATTTCTACATTTAGACATCTTTAAAGCTATGGAAAATAAAGAAGTAATAATTAGTATATTCTTTGACATTGTTGGTGCATTTAATAACGTTAATCTTCATGTACTCGCCGCAGAGTTGAGGTCTTTGGCCATTCCTGAAAAAATTGTAAAATGGATATTTAACTTTTTACATGAAAGAAGAGTTTTTGCTAAAGTTAATAATAATAATACAATTATTGGTCCTAGGCTCAGTTATAAAGGTGTTTGTCAAGGAGGAATATTAAGTCCTCTTATCTTTATTTTATACATATTTAAATTAAACAATATTTTAGGATCAAATGTTACTAATTTACAATATGCAGATGATTTGGTCATATGCAGATGATATGCCTCAGGAACAAATGTCAAAAACTTGGTAACCACTTTAAATGAGGCTTTAAAGAAATTGCAAATTTACTTTTCGTACTTAAATTTAGATATTAGTAATGAGAAAAGTAACGTAATATTTAATAAAATTCATCCATTTAACACTAGAATAATTTATAATAATACATTTTTACCAATAGAAAGTTATGCAAAATTCTTAGGTGTAATTTTTACAAATAATTTATCTTGGACCAAATACGTGAATTCTATTTCAGACAGAGCTTCTAAGGCCTTTAATGTATTAAAAGCTTTGGCTAGTACTAACTGGGGAGCTGAACCAGAAATATTATTAATGTTATATAAGTCTTTGGTGAGGAGCTATTTTGAGAACGGCTTTCTTTGTTTTGCATCAAATAAAAAACTAGTAAACAAAGTAGAAAATATACAAAATAAGAATTTAAGACTTATTACCGGCTCTATGAGAACAACTCCTATTGTTTCTTTACAGGCTGAATGTCTTACTCCGCCTATCTTACTTAGGTTTAAATATCTGACATTTAGGTTTTTATTAAATATTAATTCTTTGTCTCATCATCCTCTTTTTCAAAACGTATTATTTTACTATAATAGTATGTCTCCTATATCTAACGCAGCCCCATATATACGAGGGCTGCACTAAAAGTTTCGGGAATAGAATATTTCCACTGTTCCTGTCATATTAAAATCTTTTTAATTGAAAAGTCCTTGGTTTTAAAAATCGAATACTATTTGTTAATTTAAAAAAAGATTCTCGGTCTTGCCACAAGGTTTTATCAAACTTGTTTAGTCGTTGAG